ATTTCATTACACCAAATACACAAAATAATGTTCTTTTTAGCAGCACCATATGACCCATTATTTACCACATAATGTACATTGTTGTTGCTCCTCTATGCCCCACCTTTCTGAAACGCTTCGATTTTTACAAAGTTAATCGGTCTGAAAAGCAGGTGTATGCTGATTGGCCAGCTATCCAGTGCGTTGTGATTGGCTGTGGCGGGCTTGAGTGAGCACGTCCACGGTGAAAGCCGATCCGGCGATCCACAGCACGAAGTTGATGTATTTCTCAGTCATACAACAAAGTAGTTTCGCTTTCACAATGAAACACACAGTATCTCCACAACATGGTGCCGGCAGCAACAACAATACTACAGCGAGTAAATGTTTCTTTGCGTGAACATTTGGGCGGTGTTATGCAAATCATCCCACACAGTGACGTAGACATGTGGGGGCGTGTTTAAACGAGCCGTTTTAGGAGGGCGTGGACAAGTCTTAACTTTTATAAAAAATATCTCTTTGGATTTGAGACTTTAGTCTTTGCAACTTTACAGATCTTCTTTATGCACCAAGAGCTTGTAACACTCCAAAGAGAAAGGAAAAATTGAAATAGCATCATATGACCCCTTTAACTGAGTGAGTTACATTTTAGACACAATTTGTCTTCTTTTCTGTTTTGTAAATGAAATAGATCCAAATAAAGCAACAGCAGAACATTTATGTGTCTCAGAACAGCATGTGTCTCAGAACAACACTATGGTGGTTTCATTCCTGAATGAATCTGTTGTGGTCGATTCATGATTCAATGATACTTTCATAAAAACAGGGGCTGCATTTGAAACCGCATACTCAATGAGTAGGTACTTAATTTCAATAAGTACTTACTTAACGAGTGCTAAAAGAGTACTTACTCTATAGCCTGATCGCGTTAATAAAAGTTCTATGTTTTATATATAGGCTAAAGTGAGTTTGAAGTTGTATTTTGTTGTTGCATTCAAGCAATTGATGCCGAACTGCTTCGAACTAATTCGAAAGTGAAAGTAAAATGCGCACAGTGCTTTTAAGCTATTTAAAAGCGAAGGAAAGCAAGGTAAATAGGGAAAATTCAAACAAACTAAAAACGAACAATTGCTTTAAGCCGAATTGCCGCTATTTGAAAGTGAAAGTAAAATGCGCAGGCCGCTTTTAAAAGCTATTTAAAAGCGAAGGAAAGCGAGAAAAAGAGGGAACCACGATGATACCGGTATTACCGGTGTTGTCACACGTCGATTAACCGGTGGGAAAATTTCCTCACCGTCACAACCCTTTGAATGAATGAAACAAATGAATATTTAATATTCATACAGTTTTATCCAGTTATCATGGATTCTTGCAACTGGGATTGCAGAATAATTCTGTAACATTTACAGAACAACCTGTAAGAACAACAGCCCATTTCAGCCCACGCTGCTACTAAAATCTGTTTTGTACCTTCAGCAAATACTGATAACCACCATAGTCAATTTATCACAAGTAGATATTCAGATAAACCTGAAGTAAATACAAAACATAGAATATGACATAACACTAAAATAATGCAATAAATATAAACAACTGATAACAAACAGGATTATGTTTTTTCACTGTAAATTAACCCCAGAATGTGATTTTCCGAGGGGGGGCCAGAGTCAATATGGTGTTCAGGGGGCCCAGAAACCATAGCAGCACTTCTGCTCTTTGCTTTATCATTTTTTTTTTTAGTTTAGAGCTTTATTAATCCCCTTGGGGCAATTAATTCAGACTTTCGTAGTGCTTCACATATACAACACTTAACACACACATACATATATTTTAAATACACCAAGCTGACAGCATTCAACAGAAACAGTTTTGCATCCTCCATATTCCAGCGCGATATGCAAACTGCAACGGGTCTAAGAGTGGTCCAGCAACTGTCATCACATACTTTTTTATCTCTTTTTCCAAAATCTTCATGACCAAGGAAGTCAATGCAATAGGACGGTAATCATTCAATGATTTTGACTTTGCTTTTTTAGGTATAGGTACAATAATTGAGCTCTTCCACAAATCAGGTACCAACCCTTGATCTA